TATATATATGCTGTATACTTTTAAGATAATGCTTTTTTTTACATATTGCAATGTTTCCCCTGCCATTGTCGGGCAAAACCCCCTGCACCCACCCAAAGATGTTCAGCCCCTGAGCTGTTTGTTTTGAGTAACTGTGGCCCCCTGAGCAAATTGAGTTGAATAGCCCCATTCTAGCCTAATGACTGGATGTTCTGTTTTGAATTGGTGATAAGTTTGTGTTTTTCTCACTCTCAGTGCAGCTTTGTTTCTACATCTGTGAGCTGACTACAACTGTAAAGTCCCCCAGACACAACTGTTATCAAAGTAGTAACTTAAAAAGTTAGAATACATGTCTTTGATCTACAAGAGACCATTTTCCTACAAAGAGGATCCCCGTAATCTCGAATTTTAGTCAGGATGCTGGTATGCAGAATTGATTGAATTTACAGACCAACAGTCTGTTTCATTGTGTTTTTTTTTCTTCATTTGTTTTATTATGCTAATAAAACAGGCACACAGGCCAACACGTTGACACATACCAGCAGCCTCCAGTAATCCCAGTTACCTTTCTTATCTCCTCAGAGCTGCTCTCTATGCCGGCAGTAAAGAGATTTTCTGTGTCGTTTGCCAGGCATCCGACCAATGGTATGTCTGTTTTTATTCAAGTATATTTCGACAATCCTCCAGTTCACCTGTTATCTTGCATGACCCTTTGGTGGGAAAACATTTTCTATGTTTTCTTTATTGGGGGTTTTTGACATTTTGACTGGGGTAATGACATGAAATTGGCTCTAAGAGTTTCTGTTTCACCACACAGCCTTGGTGTTTGTGTTGTTGTCGGCCTTCACCTCTAACACCGACTCTTCTGCCTGCACATGTTTAATTTACCTTTCTGATCCTGCTGTTTGTTCACAACATGCCCTTTTGTGGGACTATATGTTCTCCTTGGATGTATTTCCAAATATTAGACAATGACCAATAGATAAACACCCAAAAAAACTTGTCACAACTTGCACTTTTATTAATTTTGAGATTTAATTTTTTTAATCAATTGTTTTTTGAATATGGTATTTTTTTATTTGCAACTACACTCTCACTGACAAATGTGAAATGATTAGTCCTTTTTCAGCCACTCTGTTGAAGACAATGATCCAGTTCAGTCATTTTAACTAGACTTCAAATATTTGGGTATCACTGCCCATCCCCTATTCTCAGACCATTGGCCTTTTTAATTTTTTTATT